CTACAATTCATCAAGTCTGGAGCAAAGACAAGCAGCATAGGTTAAGCCATAAATCCAAGTCTCCACCCCTATCGAATATTTATAATATATGGTAAGTTGTAAATAAATGGCAGAAATAGGTGAGATTAGGTAGTAAATGAAGGATAGGCAGGTTACAAAAGTACACTTGAGATACTGAGAAAATTAACACTGAATTTTTCTCACGGACTTGTTTTATGCCCCTGTTTGTAAGAATATTAATTTACATATGAAATGGAAACTCCTCTAGATAGGTATATTGTCCTGAATAATAGTACTAGTACTTTGAATTTGTATATTATATTTTTAACCAAAGGAATATATCTATTTGACATGTTATACACAGATACCCAGGAAACAACTTGGAGTTTGGTTGTTGCGAGTGAGCCGCTATCTATAAACATTACTTGTTAGCTTCTGGCAAGGAGGAAATATGAAGCAGAAGACATCCATCCTCCCGTGCCAAGTGAGTTTTCTAGACAAGTTGACTCTATTGAGTAAGTTCTTAAGGCCTCCAGGCCTCACTTTTCTAGTCCTTTGCAATTAGATAACTCAGAACCCGTTTAACCAAAGGTCTTAAAGAATAAGGCAAAAAAATCCTAGAACCCGCTATAGTTCGTTGGAGCGTACATTGATGATTCTTTATTCTGGCACACTGAAGAGACAACCAGCAAACTGGCACCAAATTTATTACCCGTTTCTTTACAAGACTTTCCACTATGATATATAAAAAGACCGCAGACCTGGTTTGAATCCTAAACCTGGGAAACTTAAGTTTTGTGTCAGCTTCTCAGTGAAAGTGAGACATAATCTTACTTTGAGGAATAAATAAAATCAGCCAAATGTCAAAAGAAATGCTACCCACAATAAGCTGGATCATCAGGCGCAATTCCATAATGGAATGTGTTTTATGTCTGGTCTGTCCTTTCCCCCCCTCGTCCCTCTCCTAATAATCAGGATACCAATGTATTTATTCGGTTCTTGTTGCTTTATGACCTTCATAGCATTTGGCCCCCTCTCCCTTTCTGAAAACTCCTCCTGATCTCTCTGGCCACTGATACATTATTTTGTATTTCTTAAGCATTCCTTGTCGGCTTCTTTGGTTGTCTTTTTACCTTCTGATATCACTAATTGTCATCTCTTTGAGGCAAATATTTTTGGTCCTTCATCAAGTATGGCAATTACTTCAGTTAAGTTCTCTTTGCCCCCTCCCTTCCTTTAGCCCATTTTCTTGGCTTAATAATTTTCCTAGAAAGACTCTCAAAATATGTTACCCCAGTCATCCTTCCTTATCTTCTAATACCTACTGTGCCATTTTTATTGTGAATTTCAAAGTAGTTACTTCATATTTAATATCCTTCGTCAATGGATATTATATTGTCCCTGTAAGCTCAGACTTAAGATCTCAGAACATTATACTTCTTTCTCTCCCTCATTTCACATTTGGGCCCAATGTCTTTCGATCATCTTTGTCCTTTTTCAACCTTAACTTTCATCGGAATCTCCAACTTCATGCTAAATCTTACAATGTTTCTAATTGGGCTTGCTCTTTCCCACTTTTCCTTCCAATCTGCTCTGTTAAGTTCTAGTAGCCTCAAGTAGCTACTTCTAACAGTCCTCTAACTCAGAAACCTCAGTGGGCTATATACTTTAAAAAAAAAAACCCCAAACTACTATTCCTGGCTTTCAGAAGCTTCACAATCTGCCTCATGTGCCATTCGTACTTCATCTCTATGTGTACCTTGAGATGAAGGAAACTTGAGAAACTTGACTGTTTACTAATAGCTTAAAAGAAAAGACTTTTCTGATGAGATCAGTGGTGATTATAATGAATGTAATTTTTAATATTGTATAAACAAGTGTGTAACATTTGAAAGGTCTACATAACTCGTGAACCAGTATTTTAATGACCAATCCATGATATTTCAAAATTATACTTGGTAAAATCCATTCAAGTGTAATGCTATCCGATGATTTACTCGTAGCAGAAGTATAAAAGTTCCTGCTATGGTTTCAGATCCACCATTGACAACTAACTTAAGAAGCACTACCTACTTGTCAAGTTTTAATGTAGTATTAAATAATGCCATTACTTCTTAACAAAATATTAAATGTTTCAATTATATCTGCTGTATTGAGTTGGATTCTTTTTATACTCCAACCAACAGAATTACTGAAGCAGACTGAATTCAGAGGGCAAAATAAGAAATTGGCTTTGTTAAGTAAGCATATGAAAAAGATTGCAAAACTGTAAAATGAATGCCACTCTTTTTCTTTCTTTTGGTATGCAGTGGAGAAATGGCGCGTTAAAAAATAATTATGTATCGTTAACATAAGGTGGTTTCTACGCGTATTTAATGATGTTACAAATTCTGCCAGCAATTGGTAAATTTAGTGATATTGGTAAATATAGATTAATTACACTAAACAAAGCTCTTGGGTCTTATAAATTTATAGAGCATTAAAGGAATTCTTAAGATTAAAAGGTTTGAAGAACCACTGATTAATGTATATAAACTGGTTTAAGCTGACCTTCTGAATTACTTAATATCCTATTTCCAGTAGAGGACAGAGATAAATTAAGAAACTCCTAGTTCCTTAAAATATAGAAAATTTAATCTCCCAAATAAAACCCATCCTTTTGTCCTTAAACAAGATCAACTGAAGGCGCTATCCTAGGTGTACATATATCTGAAAATGTTTTAGTGTTTTTTACCCACAAAGCAGTTGCAGATTACTTGAGTATACAATTTCAACAAAATAATGTTGCCTCACGAGTGCTGAACTGAATATTGTTAGAGTATAGTCATTGCAAGGTATTTCCACATAATCATGGCCACCCCTTTAAAGCCCCTATTATCTTTTAATATTCTCCATTTTTAGAAATGTTTATGCATGTAGTCATATCAACTTTTACAATATGAGTTTAATGAAAACTCGTTGTCCAGTTACAGATATAAGGAGTTATTTGCAGCATAATACGTCGCTTAACTTGTTAGGTCCTCAGAATTATTACCAACATTTAATAACATGAAAACAACACCAAATTGTTAAAATGTCTAATGATCTATAAATTGTTAAGATCGAAAGTGTTACTCTATCACAAAACTAACGTAATTCTTCAACTTATATAAAATCATTATTCAAAGAAGAATGGCCCCTGTCTCATAAAGTTAAAACAATGCAATGTATTTCTGGCTGATATTACTAAGTATTAATCTAAACAAGACAGTAATTATATGCTTTTAAATGGACATTTAAAAAACCCAAACCAAACCAAAGAACTATTCACGTCAGGGTAAAATAGTTAAATCTCCAGGGTAACTAATGAAAGGAAGAGAGAAGTATTAAAAGATCTGGCTGGATTTCTATGAGTATTGAATATGCGACTTTAAAAATATCTTCACATAAAAATTGTTGAGTAAATGTTGTACTTTCTTTCCTCCCCTTTTAAAAAGATATAAGAGAGCTTAAGAGCTATGGGCTCTGAATTAAAGTTTTGGTTTATTCCAGTTCTATTTCCGCCTTCTGAAATTCCAGTTCCAGTTTCCTCTCGTGTAAAAATGAGGGACAATAGCAGCAAACATTCCCATAGAAGCTGTTGTGCAAACTACCTGAAAATAATATAATAACTTAAAATACGTTGGTTCAAATAAAACAGTCAATAAATACGAGCCTGTATTATTATATTATCAAGTATTATTATTACCCCACCCTCCCAAACTACATGGAACAACATAAACCTGTACCTCCGCTACATGACGAATGATGAATGCAGAACCTACATGGACTGCAATCTTTCCTTTACCTACAACCAATATTACTTTGGTTCGTAGCAAGGAGATAGATACTACATATTACTGAATAGAGAGTTAGTGTAAACAATAGGCTAAAATTTGGGAGGGTGGTAGTAAGTTCAGTAAATTAGAAATAAAAAATATCAACTAAATTCTAAAGTAATAGGTTCATAAAGGAGTACATTACTAGGCTTTATAACTTTTGTAGAATCTCCATAGTGACAAATATTTTTAGAAGATTAAAATAGTGGCTAACGAATAGAGGCCAGGTGAACATAAAGAAAACAATTTGGCCAGTTATCTGTGTTTGTAACCGTACCTTCCCTGCCCTAAGCTTTTGAGTTACGTAAGGAAAGAACAGCAATTCCTAGAAATCATAAAAAAGGAAGCAAAACAAAACCACGCCCCTTAATTGTACACAGAGGGCACATGCTAAGTTGGAAACAGATTGTTGAATGTTGATTAGCATAATATTACCAGTGACATACTTGTGAACCCTTTAGGTTTTAGAATGATGCAGAATTCACACTTTCAACATTGGCTAAGCACTACAGGTAAATAGGTCCATGCTAAATACTGGGAAAACAAAATGACGAAATAAATGCCTTCAGGAAGTACTTATATTTTAAGAAGATAATACGTAACAGATATCAATTATACAACATAAAATACTTAAAAATACGGTAGACCTGGAAAATGGGCTACACATCTACTCGCATGGTCACTTTTAGAAACGTGATACTGCTAAGGTTGCTAAAGCACCCTTTTAAGCACACTATTAACAGACATGACACATGACGATTGTATTAGTGTGATTCACCTCTTCTTTAAAATGGCAGTAGGCAGGAGTATTACTTAGGCCTAATGTTTGATATCTGTCACTATCAAATATTACATATTTCTAAAGCTTGTTCTGTAGTTTGTATCATTCCACTATTCCTATAATGCCTTCTAATTTTCACCTAATACACAAATATTCACTCAAAAAATATTTAATGAACACTATCTGTGTGCCGGGCACTGTTTTTTACTGAAAATGATGAGCAGAAATAGACAATATACCTGCCTTTCTGGAGCTACTTGTTCTGTTTTACTGAAGAACTTCAAATCACATACATTTCACAAGTTGCAAACAAACCAAAAAAGTTAAAGACAGCTTTAGAAAGAAACCTTTCATTTATATACCTGTACGATAGAGTTCTGTAGCACCCCTGAAAAACCGGGGCAAAGCTGCCTCCAACAACATGATAAAATCTTCAAGCTCTTCAGTGACTCCCACCAGAAAATATTCATTAATTAGGTTATACTTGGCTTGATCCATAGCCCACCTGCTTCCCACATTCCTGAAACCAAAGAAAAGGAATTAAAAACCTAGTGTGAAATCTTCTAAGTATTTCTGATGCCTTTGACATTGTATATTATGGAGAAAATAGATAAACACATGTATATCCAAAGGCTTAATGCCCTTTTATTAACGTCCTCTGGGAAGCACACCTGTTTTTAATTTCCTTTGCTCCCATCTCCAGTTTCTGCTCAACTATGCAGTGCTAATTCAGAGCTTACTAGAGGAATCTTAATATGAACAAAGTTTAGTTTGAGGGCACTTAAAAATATATATACACACATCCAGATATACAGCTGATATATTCCTCCCATATGATTTAGTGTGAGTGTGTTTAATTTTTTTAAACTACTCTAAACTAAACTTTGTTCATTTTAAGAGCTCTCTAGCAAGGTATAAATAATTTGTGTCTAGTGCTTATCTTAATTTGTGAATTCAGGGGTATTTTTTTTTTAGGAGCTTAGCATTTTCTGAGGCACAGAAAATAGATAAAAAATAGTTCTGCTAAGCATCTTTTATTTTTATTCACATTGCCAAATGATGCTGCTAATAGAGATTTTAGCACCAACATTCCTTGATCCTAATTCCAACTCTGCCTTTAAGTAGCAGTGTGATCGTGAGCTGGTGGCTTCAGCTTTCTAGATTTTGTTTTCTCAGCTATTAAAAAGGAAGGGGGCCAATGATTAGTTGATTTCCAAGGTCCCTCTCATTTCTGTGAATCTATGAAACAAACTAAAGAAGTTCAATTAAAATATTCTCAAAAATGCCCAATGATGCAATATTCTTTATTATTCTAAGGCAGGGATTAGCAAACTTTTTCTATAAAGGGCCAGAAAGTAAATATGTCAGACTTTGCAGACTATATGGTTTAGGTCCCAATTATTCAACTCTGCTATTGCACAAAAACAGCTATAGGCAATAAGTAAAAAGGGTATGTGGATGTGTTTCAATAAAACTTTATTTATAAAAACAGGCGATGAGCAAAATTTGCTGCAGTTTGTAGTACGCCAATCCCTGTTCTAAGGAAATGGCTAAAAATTGAGAAGACATTTTTCCTAGACTTTCAATTCTTCTTGAACTATTATAAGGCTTTGATACTATCTATTGAGTAAGACCTTAAGCTTTACAGTAATCTAATAATATATCTCAAATAATGAAGAAATTCCTTGTATTTCTCATTTTGGTTTAAGGAAAAAAACTAACTTTGAATGTGTTCCTTCCCCCCCCTTCTTTTCCTATTAAAATGATTGAATAGAACAAAGAAATATGTACTAAGGAAATATGTTATTTTCCCAGAATATGCCAAGTTTTAGCTTTTAAAAATGCAATTACTTTTGAAAACTGAAAGCTTGGCACATTCTGAGGAAATAAATTATTTATTAAAGATAAAATATCTTTATTTTCCACCTCATGTTTATTAGCAAACTAACCACAACCATAACCTTGGCATCTCTTAAAGTTAAAATCAGTTTAATAGTAAAACCAGGTGAATAATTTACCCACTAAGTTTTTTCTTGATTTAACATGAATGGCTAAGAAAGTAAGCTTAGGACAAAGTAAGGTTTATGACCACTGGTCTCTAATTAAGAGATCTACTGAAACACACCAAAACATAAGACCAAAAACAAACAAAAAAATTTAAAACTCAGCATCTGAGGAAATAATGCAAGTATATTATATATGAGGAATTTTTTAAATACATTTAAAGGTAACCACAAAACTAGATATTAATTACATGTTATTTTTAGTCTGGTCTTTCACTGATTTCACTAAACCTACCCTTTGTGAAATACAGATTATGGAAATATTAGGTTTTTAAGTATGAAGTGTTCGATTTCCTTAAGTATTAAGTTTGATAGTTGAAATCTGACATTTCACTTTGATAATTTTTGTTTTATTTTTATTGTGAAGGTACCTCCTCAGTCTTGGAAACACTTGGTTTGGCTTGTGATTATCTTTCAAATTTTTTTAGAGCCAATTTTTGTGAAACCATGGATAAGTCAAAAATTTGTGTTATTTTCGACTGTGAGTTCTGTAATGGAATATCAATGAAGTGTTTGAGAAGGATGTGGCTAATGAATGCATAGTACATCCATCAATGATTTGAGAAATTCCTTTCTGGTGACTTTAATCCTGAAAATAAGCCTGGTGTGTGACCTGAGACCAAGGTGGATAATGATGAGCTGAAAGCTATAGTGGAAGTGAATCCATCTCAACCTACAAGTAAATGAGCAGCAAGATGGATGTTACTATTCCAACAATATTGGGCCATTTGAAACAACTTGGTTAGGTAAGAAAGCTGGATAGGTGTATTCCGCATGAATTAAACAAGTACTTATTGTTAGGTGTGATGAAAAATGGATTCTTTTTGAAAATCACAAGCATTCAGCACAACGGCTGGATAAAGATGAAGTGCCAAAACACCGTCCAAAACCAAATATTCATCAAAAAAAGCTAATGGTGTCTGTTTGGTAGTCTAGCGCTGGCATTATATCCACTACAGCTTCATGAAACCTGGTCAATCGATTACAGCAATGTCTACTGCAACCAATTAGACAAAATGATGAGGATGCTTGCAATTAAGCAGCTGAGACTGGACAATAGAAACAAACCAAACCTCTTGCTGGCCAACAACGCTCGACCACTTGTTGCAAAAACAACGTTGCTCAAACTACAGAAGCTGGACTTGGAAACTCTCTTATCCGCTGTATTCACCAGACCTTGTACCAACTGACTACCACTTCTTCCAGGCTTTGGACCACTTCTTGCAAGAAAAAATATTCAATTCTCAACAAGCCATAGAAAATGCCTTTCGAGATTTCATCACCACTCGCCCTCCAGGCTTCTTTTCTGCTGGCATAAACAAGCTACTGTTACGATGGCAAAACTGTGTCGCTAGCTTAGGCGCATACTTTGATTAATTGTACTGCTTTTGGTTTGAGATATAATAAACTTTCGATTTGAAATCGGACATTTCATATTTAATGACCTAATACTAAGGAAGATGATCAATTTAAGCCAACTTTATCTCCCTACCAGCATTCGGAGCTGTGGCCACAGAAGAACGGGATTTGAAGCCAGAGCTTCTCTGGAGCACAGTCTGAGCCGCCCTCAGCTACACATTCATCAAAAGTCTGGAGCAAAGACAAAGCAGCATAGGTAAGCCATAAATCCAAGTCTCACCTATCGAATATCTTAATATGGTAAGTTGTTAAATAAATGGGCAGAAATAGGTGAGATTAGGTAGTAAAATGAAAGGGATAGGCAGGTTACAAAAGTACACTTGAGATACTGAAGAAAATTAAACATGAATTTTTCTCACGAGACTTTGTTTTATGCTCATGTTTGTAAGAATTATTTTACCATATGAAAGGAAACTCCTCCAGATAGTAATTTGTCCCTGAAAATAAGTACTAGTTTACTTTGAATTTGTATATTTATATTTTTTATACCAAAGGAAATTATCTATTTGACATGTTATAACAGATACCAGGAAACAAACTTGGGAGGTTTGGTTGTTGCAGTGAGCCATCTATAAACATTACTTGTTACTTCTGCAAGGAGGAAATATGAAAAAGCAGAAAGAGCACTCATCCTCAGTGCCAAGTGAGTTTCTAGAACCAAGTTTGACTCTATTTTGAGTAAGTTCTTTAAGGCCTCCAGGCCTCACTTTTCTAGTCTTTGCAATTAGATAAACTCAGAGGACCCTTTCAACCAAAGGTCTCTAAAGAATAAGGCAAAAAAATCCTTAGAACCGCCTATAGTTGGAGCTACATTGGAATGATTATCTTTATTCTGGCAACACTGAAGAGACAACAGCAAACTGCAACCCAAATTTATTTACCCGTTTCTTTTACAGATGACTTTCACTATGATATAGTAAAAAGATCCATGACTTGGGTTTGAATCCTAAACCTGGGAAACTTAAGTTTTGTGTCAGATTCCTCATGTGAAAAGTGAGGACATAATCTTACTTTGAGGAATAAATAAAATCACAAATGTAAAAGAATCTACCACAATAACTGGTTCATAGGCATTCCATAAATGGAATGTGTTTATGTCTGTGTCTGTCTCTTTCCCCACCTCTCCTCTCTAATAATCAGATACAATGTTTTATTGGTTCTTGTTCTCTTTGACCTTCATAGCATTTGGCCCCACCCTCTCCTTTCTGAAAACTCTCTGATCTCTCTGCCACTGATACATTATTTTGTATTTCTTTAAGCATTCCCTTTTGGCTTCTTTTGTTGGTTCTTTTTACCTTTCTGAATATACTATTGTCATCTTCTTTGAAGGCATATTTTGGTCCTTCTACCAAGTATGGCAATTACTCTCAGTTAATTTCTCTTTGCCCCCTCCCTTCTTTAGCCCATTTTCTTGGCTTAATAATTTCTAAGCAAAAGACTTCAAAATATGTACCCCCAGATCTATCACTTCTTATCTTCTAATACCTACTGTGCATTTTTATTTGAATTTCCAGTGTTACTTCATATTCAATATTTCTGTCAATGATATTATATTGTCCCTTGTAACTCAGACTTAAGATCTCAGAGCATTTACTATTCTTTCTTCCTCACTTCACATTTTTGAGGCAATGTCTTTCCGATCCATCTTTTCTTTTTCAACCCTTACTTTCATCAGGATCTCACAACTTTATGTCTTAAATCTTACAATAGTTTCCTAATTGGGCTCTCTTTCCCACTTTTCCTTCCAATCTGCTCTGTATAGTTACTAGATTAGCCTAAGCAGTCACTTCTAACAGTCTCTACTCAGAAACCTACAGTGGCTACTAATACCTTTAAAAAAAAAAAAAAAAACCCAAACACTATATCCTGGCTTCAGGAAAGCTTCACAATCTGACCTCAATGTGCCATTCTAGCTTCATCTCTATGTGTACCTTGAGATGAAGAAACTTGAGAAACTTGACTGTTTCTCAATACTTAAAAGACTTTTCTGATGAGATCAGTGGTGATATTAATGAATGTAAATTTTTAATATTGTATAACAAAGTGTGTTAACATTCGAAAGGTCTACATAACTCAGTGAACCAGTATGTTCTAAATGACCAATCCATGATATTTCAAAATTATACTTGGGTAAAAAATCCATTCAAGTGTAAAATGCTATCGATGGATTTTACTGTAGCAGAAGTATAAAAAGTTCACTGCTATGGTTTCAGATTCCACATTGCAACTAACTCTAAGAAACTACCACTTGTCAAGTTTTAATGTAGTATTAAAGAATAATGGCCATACTTTTAAAAAAATATTAAAAATGTTTTCAATTATATATCTGTATGAAGTTGGATTCTTTTTATATACTCCAACCAAAAGAATGTATTGAACAGACTGAATTCAGAAGCAAATAAGAAAATTGGCTTTTTATAGTAAGCCAATATGAAAAAGATATGCAAAACTGTAAAATGATGCCACTCTTTTTACTTTCTTTTGGATGCAGTGGAGAAATGGCCGTTTGCGTTAAAAAATATTATGTATGTTAACATAAGGTGTGTTTCCTACCGTTATTTTAATATGTTAAAAATTTCTCAGTAAATTGGTAAATTTAGTGATATTGGTAAATATAGATATAATTTACATAAACAAAAGCTCTTTGGGGGTCCTTAATAAATTTTAAGAGCATAAAAGGAATTCTTAGATTAAAAGGTTTGAGAACCACTGATTTAATGTATATAACTGTTCAATGCTGACCTTTGGATTACTTAATATCCTTATTTTCCAGGTAGAGGACAGAGATTAAATTAAGAAAAACTCTAGTTCTTAAAATATGAAAATTTAAAATCTCCCAAATAAAACCCATCTTTTGTTCCTTACAAGATCCACTGAAGGCTATCCTAGGTGTACATATATCTGAAATGTTTGAATTTAGTGTTTTGTAACCACAAAGCAGTTCAGATTACTTGAGTACTACAATTTCAAACATAACTGTTGCTACGAGTGCTGAACTGAATATTGTCTGATGTTTCAAAGTATCACTTGAGGTGCAAATAATCTACAATTTCACGGCAATGAAGCTATCTACCAATTTTTGAGAGTAAGTGCCATTGCAAGGTATTTCCAGCATAATCATGGCCACCCTTTAAGCCCTATTATCTTTTAATATTCTTCCATTTTTAGAAATGTTATATGCATGTAGTCATATCAACTTTACAAATATGAGTTTAATGAAAACTCTTGTCAGTTACAGATATTAAGGAGTTATTTGCAGCATAATAACGTCGCTTAACTTGTTAGGTCTCAGAATATTACCAACATTTATAACATGAAAAACAAGCCAAATTATTAAAAATGTCTAATGATCTATAAATTTTAAGATCGAAAAGGTCTACTCTATCACAAAACTAAGTAATTTTCACTTTAATAAATCATTATTCAAAGATGGCCCTGTTCTCATAAAAGTTAAACAATGCAATAGTATTCTGGTGATATTACTAATATTACATCTAAACAAACAAGTATATTAATATGCATTTTAAATGGACATTTAAATGGACATTAAAAAAACTCCAAACAAACCAAGACCTATTACAGTCAGGGTAAAGAATAGTTAAAGCTCCAGGGTACTATGAAAGGAAGAGAGGATATTAAAAGATCTGCATGGATTTTTCTATGAGTATTGAATATGCGACTTTAAAATATCTTTCACATAAAAATGTTGAGTAACATGTTGTATTTCTTTCCTCCTTTTAAAAAGATATAAAGAGCTTAAGACTATGGGCTCTAGAATTAAAGTGTTTGGGTTTAAATTCCAGTTCTATTTCCTTCTGAAATTCCAGTTCAGTTTCCTTCTCTGTAAAAATGAGGACAATAGCAGCAAACATCCCATAGAACTGTTGTGCAAACTACCTGAAAAAATACATATAAATAACTTAAAATACTGTTGGTTCACAATAAACAGTCAATAAATACGAGCTATTATTATTAATATTATCAAGTATTATTATTACCCAATCCCTCAAACTACATAGGATAGCAACAATAAAACCATGCTACCCAGGGCTAACATGACGAATGATGAATGCAGAGACCTACATGACTGCAAATCTTTTCTTTACCTACACCAATATTACTTTGGTTGTAGGAAGGAGATAGATACTAACATTTACTGAATAAGAGTTAATGTAAACAATAGGGCTAAAATTTGGGGATGGGTGGGAAGTAAGTTCAAGTAAATTTAGAAATAAATATCAATAAATTCTAAAGTAATAGGTCACAAAGGAGTTACATTACTAGGCTTTATAAACTTTTGTAGAATCTCCATAGTGACAAATATTTTTAGAAGATTAAATAATGCTAAGAGATAGGCAGGTGAACACTAAAGAAAAACAATTTGGCCAGTTATCTGTGTTTGTAACCGTACCTTCTGCCTAAAGCTTTGAGTTAGGTAAGGAAAGAAACAGCAATTTCTAGAAATCATAAAAAAGGAAAGCAAAACAAAAAACCACTGCCCCTTATTGTGACACAGAGGGCACATCTAAGTTGGAAAAAGATTGTTGAATGTTGATTAGCATAATATACCAAGTATGTACATACTGTGTAACCCTTTAGGTTTAGAATGTGCAGAATTCACACTTTCAACCATTTGCTAAGCACTTACAGGTAAACTAGGTACCATGCTAAATACTGGGAAAACAAAATGAATGAAATAAATGCTTCAGGAAGTTTACTATATTTTAAAGAAGACAATACGTAAACAGATAATCCAATTACTACAACATAAATACTTAAAAATAGGTTTGAATGGAGTACTCTGGGAGCCCTGAAAGGGGCACAACTAACTCTGCCTAGAGGCATCAGGAAAGACTTTATGGAGGAAGAATTATAACATATAAGCTGGATTTAAAGGTGGACAAAGAATTTTCTAGAGTAAAGAAACACATTCTAAATATAGGGAATAACACATGTGCACAAAGTAGGAAGCAATAACTTTGAAGGACAGTGACATTATATGTGGGTGAATGAAGCACAGGGTGCTGGAAGGAAAATTATGCAGGAGGGGTAGAGCTCAGATCATGTCCAATTGTGTCTCCTATGTCCTGGATAATCTTGTGAGTAATGAGGTCCCAGTAAGGGTGTCCCACCAGAAAAGTGACATGCCAGTTTGTTTCTTAGAAAAATAACTCTGGTGATACTCTAGAGAAGGGGTCCTCAAACTTTTTAAACAGGGGGCCAGTTCACTGTCCCTCAGACTGTTGGAGGGCCAGACTATAGTTTTAAAAAAACTATGAACAAATTCCTATGCACACTGCACATATCTTATTTTAAAGTAAAAAAACAAACAGGCAAAAACACCCACATGTGGCCTATGGGCCATAGTTTGGGGGCACCTGCTCTAGGGGATACAATGAAATGGAAGACAACCCAAACCTAAACCTGATAAAAACTTTGTTGAGTCATTATTATTCTCTCTTAGCAAGATGGTGTCCCTAAACTGATGATAACAAACACAAATTGTCATCATTAAGACTAAGAGAACCAAAGAATATACAAAAATACATAATATTAATGGATAATTATAACAGTGTCATAGAAAATTATTAGTAGGACTATAATAAAACAAATAGCCCTGGAACAGAAGTACAATATTTTTAAAAATCACAAAAAATTATGTATATTACAAGATATCAACTATATAAATAGTCTTCCTTTTGCTCCTTCATACTTTGGGTTGTTTTCAAAATTTCCACAATAAGCAAATCATATAATTGACAACAAATTTAAAAAGCACGTTGTCTAATGCATTTCCTAAATAATTATCTTTATAAAAATCTTAAAACTAAGATATTACCTTTTTGTCTCCTTGTTTTCTTCTCCTTAATCCTGGTCTATAATCATCACCAAATCTCAGAAAGTAATAATAAGAAACTAGCCTCTCAATAGGATCCCTTATGACATTAATGTAAATTGGCTTCTTCTTCACACCAAATCTGAAATAAAACAAAAGGTGAAATCAGCATTTTCATTCTGTTAGGGATACCCTGAAAATATATGTATAAGTTTGAAGTATTGATCCTATATGGAAAGAACAACATGATCCTATATGGAAAGAACATGTATTAATTTAAATAATTTGAATACATGGAGACTGGGAAATATTTCATGATTATTTATGTTATAATAAAGTAAATAAGAAATAAGAATTTAAAAATCATGGCTGAAGATAAAGAAAAGAAGGGAAAAATGAATAAAAAATAATTTTAAACGTTACTGGCAAGAATTATATAAAACATTTTCATACTACACCCTTATTAGATTTCAAGTCCAAGTAGAAAATTCCTTTTTAATTAATATACACATATTACTAAGAAAATTACTAAGAAAATTTAATATTTATAATTTTAAAATGAACTTATAAAAAAGTATCTTTATTACATTCCCTAATCGATCATCTGGTGTTACAAAAAGAGTTTCAAATCTGCATTAAATATGTAGCAATTATTTCTCATTTCTAGCTCACCAAACTACGTAAACATTATCAATGTTATCAAGTACTAGTCAACACAAGAGTGACCATCTGAATCTACCTTCTGTTGCTGACTTTAAAGACAAGATAGAAAAACATTAGGTTTTCAGCATTATTTCTTTAGGGAATGATAAAAAGTTGAAGGAACACAGACTTTTATTTTAGCAATCCTTGCAGACTCTAGAATTGTCCAACTGGCTCCCTGTTCTACTATCCTCCCCTGTCCCAGTCTTGAAATGTTACAGTTATCTTGATTCTTCCTCTTCCATTTTTCTTCATTTAATAAAATTACAAAGTCCTTTTGATGTTTCTTTTGTAAGTTCTCATAGATGTGACCTGTCGTTATCATTCTTTTTCTTTACCACTACCCTCTTCCTCAGCCTCTTCCTTAGATTATCACAGTAATTTAGTTGGTTTTCTTACATCCAATCTCTTTCCCTTTCAATTTATCTTCTTTATCAATTTTCAACTGTTCTTCCTAAATCACTCTTCTTAGGATTCTTAGGAATCTGAAATAACTCCACTGATCAGTTAATATCAAACCCAAACTCCTTTGTCTGGTTTGTTTGCCTTATGTCTTAGGTACCACCTTACTGATACAACTTTTTCTTCAACTCTCCTCAAACAAGAAACCATCTGCTATTGTTAGGTCAGCCTCTTCTACCTTCTCCCATATATCCATACTTAGTCCTATTTCTCCTTATATGCTTTCTCTTATTCTGTCTTCCATGACTAGAATACTACTCTCATTTTTCTATTCTTTCCTTTTCTATATCAATTCATTCAAAAAATACTTTTCATGTACCCAATAATATGCCAGACTATGTTCTAGATACTACGGATACAGCAATGAAAAAAACAGACAAAATTCCTTGTCCTTGAAGAGCTAACATTCTACTTGGGGGAGACAGACAATAAATAAATAAGCAAATATATTAGATGGTAATAAGTACAATGGAGAAAAATAGTGCAGTGGAAGAGAATAGGGAGTGCCAGGGGAGATGAGGCAGAGTACAGTTCAAAATAGTGTTTTTTTGGAAAAGCATCACCAGTGTTATGTAATGATGAATGAACCATGCAGATATGTGGGGCAAAGTGTTCTGGGAAGATGGGACTTCCAAGTATGAAGGCCCTAAAGCAGCTAAGTGCCAGGTGTTTTGAAGAATGGCAAGAAGATCAATCTGGTTTCAGAATCAGGATAGTAACAGAAGATGAGAGCAGAGAGGTGGGGGTAAGGTGGAGTGAGCACTGATCATGTGGGCTTGTAGACCATTATAAGCATTTATAAGCATTAGTTTTGATAGAGTCAGGAGGAAGCCATTGGAGGATTGAAGCAGAAAAGTATCATGATATGACTTATTTTAAAAGGCCACTGACTGCTGTTTTGGAATAGAGAGGCAATAACAAAATCTGTGACCTTGCTTCCTTATGACTCTAGCATACAGTTCTACTTGCTTTCATTTGATATCTCCTGCACCCAAGACCTATGGCTATTAGGCAATTTAATGCTTAGCTTGTTCTACTAGGTTTCTCCTATAAAGTCTTTTCTCCCCAAGAATACTATAAGTTACTTGAGGATAGGCATAGTACCAATAATGCAGTAAAAATTTCTTTCACAATTTTTTAAAAGAGGAAAATGGTATTATTGCAAATATATAGCACTGCCACATTAGATATTAAGAACAGATGCTCCATAAAGGCAGGTACTGTTTCTTTCTTATTTATGGCTTTATCACTAGTGTCAACACTGTACCCAACACATAGGTATTGAATATTAATAGCACTGGGTTGAATAGACTGTTGTGAATTAGCTTTGTACTTTTTCTAAGTACAAAAGCCTTTCTGTGGGAGAGTACACTTGGTAGTGAGAACAAAGTAAGGAGGCACCAGGAACACAAAATTGCTACTTTAGTTCACAGAGCTGACAGTCTTTTAACAGGAAGCTACAAGAAGGGGAGAACACAGGATAATGGCTTACTGATTCCATTCTTAAGACTGAGATTCCCTGGGAACCCCCTCTCTCCTCTCCATTATTAGCCATTGCCCCACCCTGTGCCATCATTCTCTTGGGAATTACCTCCTGGCAGCAGAATATCTCCCAGCAATGTTTCCTCTTCCCCTTTCCCTTAGTTGCTGACATGTGAAGCAGATAGTAATTCTTACCAGGCAGCAGTGAAAGGGGATAAAGCATTTTACAAAACTCTTCTTGCTGTCCAGGAAATGGCTATCTTGGCTTTGGATAGCATTTATCATGTATGAAATATGATTTTAATGAGATAATCTGTGAACTCATTCTGAAAATGGATAACTATTATGTATAATTTAGGTAATGATTATGCAGACATGAAGGGCTGGAGGCAAGGAATTATAACATAATGGGCATGATTAAAAAATAGTATCTGGGCCACTCAGCTCAGCCAGTTAGAAAACAAGATCTAAGAAGGATTGCCAGTTTAACTCTCTTGCCAACCAGGTAGTTTATATAGGGGTAAAAGTAAAGAGGTCATAGACTCCACCCTTAACCTTAGCCAATCATTTGAGCTGTTCAGCAGGAAGGTTCAGGTGGAAGAGTAGAAAACCCATCCCTACTCGTTGACCTGTTAGAACATAGTCTTCCCAGGAAAAGAAGAGCATACTGGTAAGAATCTGCGGGTGAAAATCCAAAAGGAAAAAACATCATCTGAGCAGCAGGTTGGTTAAGATGTTTTGGGAACCACATTCTTGCTATGTAAGCATTTGATGCATGACAAACCAAGGAACATAAACTAGGTTCATTTCTTTACAATTACCCTCTATAGATAGCTTCTATAGAGAAGTGAACAATAAGAGTGGTTAAAAGAACAAATGCATTCTCAGAACATTTGTAAGAAACCTTGACTACCGGCTAGACAAAGCCTAAAGGAGAGATGATGAAGCTGAGAGAAGGCTTAATGGCCTTTGAGAAGCTTCGAGATTTCTGCTTCATACTAGGTTTAACATTTCTACTTAAGCATCAATCTTACTGGGGGGACATTTATACCTTGTAAATATTTATTCTGGACCAGCTTAGCCATAAAGGGTTCATAGAAGCTTTCTAATCCTACTGGCAAGTTCACACTGTCTTATATCGAAAAATGTGAATGGCCTGTTGGTATTTGTTGGTTCCACTGACAATAATGTTGTAAATAAATGATTCTTAAAGACATTTATGTCTTAAAAAGGGCATTCATCTACTATACATCTATTAGAATGGCTCAAATTAAAAAAAAAAAAAAGAGGGGGTTTAACAATTCCAAATGGTGGTGAAGATGCACAACTGTAGCTCTTAAACATTGTTGGTGATACAAAATGATATAATCGCTTGAGAAAATAGTTTGGCAATTTCTTACAGAGTTACTATACAATCTAGAGCAATCTCATTTCTAGGTTTTTATCCAAAAAAATTAAAACATATGTCCACATAAAAGCCGTATATAAACATTCTGGCAGCTCTATTCACAATCACCAAAAGCTGTAAACAACCAAAATATCCAGAAACTCATGAATGGTTAGAAGGTATGGTACATCTATACAATGAAATACCACTCAGCAAGGAACTAAATACTGATACATGCACCCAATTGGATCTATGTCAAAAGCATTATGTTAAGTGAAAGAAGGCAGACTTAAAAGACTTGGTGTCTTTTAAGACACCTAATAAGATATAGGTAGTGACAAGAAGAGTTGTCCAGGATGACTCTGAAGTTTCTTGCCTGGGTGTCCATAACAGATAAAAATGTATAAACTTTCCAAAAGGGAATAATGGAGACAAAATCTTGTGCAATGCCTAATTAAGAGTAGGGAATAAGAAGGACCAGCAGAGATTCAGACATGGAGAAGAAGAAAACACCAGTTAAAACTGAAAGAAGAGAAAAATTAAAAAGAATCATGCCACTGCTCTGTGTGAGGCACAGTGCTTCATATACATTATCATATTTAATACTCACTACCACCCATGAAGTAATTACTTTAATTATCCTCGTTTTACAAAAGGGGAAACAAGCTCAAAGATCTGAAGTAATGTGGCTAACAGAGCTGGTAAGGAGTCAAAGTGGATTTAATGGCAGATCTATCTGACTTCAGAGATTGCTCCTTAGCAGTCTAAAGGGTCAGTGCTATAGAAAAAGGTAGCAAAACAAGATCAATAAAAAAGCAACTCCCCCATATTGCCTACAACAATTAAAATAAAATTTTTTTTAAGACAGAGTCTTGCTCTGTTGCCAAGGCTGGAGTGCAGTAGCACAAGCATAGTTTACTGAAATCTCCAACACTTGGGCTGAAGTGATCCTCCCACTTCACCTGTAGCTGAGACTACAGGTGTGTGCCACACTGGCTAATTAAAATAAAATTTTTTTTTGTAGAGATGGGGTCTTGCTATGTTGCCCAGGTTGGTCTCCAACTCCTATCCTCAAGTAATACTCCTGCCTGAGATTATAGGAATGAGCCACCATGCTCAGCCACTGATGAAAATAAAAGTTTCTATGGTATTATGATATATTTATTAAAAGTTGTAGAAAATGGTGCAAACTTCTCCTGGTTCAGCAGAGAAGTATTAGGTAAAAAGAATAATGTCACATCAATCTATATACTAACACATTCTATTTAGGCCTAAAATATGATCATGTATTACCCTCTAGGATATTTCAGACCTAGTGAAGCATTTAGTTGTTTCTTGTCCTGACATATATGCTTCTTTAACGATTCAGCTCACTTGTTCTGAAAATAATAGAGATAATACAGAAAAACCAAAATGAACCCGATGAAAACTCATTTTTGTTTCTGGGAACAACCACAAAAGCATACACCTGATGTGTGCCTGAATAAAACAGTTATATCAAAAACAATTTTTAAATATCTTTCTAAGACAGATGCTAACATGTGACCCTGAGGTAGCTAGATCATAAAAAAAAAATCACAGCAGTATCTGATGGAAAGTACAGCATTAAAAGTTTTCTTTTAGTTAATCATTCATTATGAAGGGAAATGTTTATTACTGAAAAAGGTTTTTGGAAGAGATGTTCTAATGTTTTTCTTTTCTAAAGTTTGAAGAAAATCAAAGTGGGGTAATAGATACCACTGAAAAATAAACAGCATACATTTAAAAAGGGGAGGTAATCTAATATTTTCACTGTTTATAGTAAAACATAATGAACTGATAATTACAGAAAAAATGGGGTTTCAGTGAACTCATTAAGGTCAAGATCTGCAACTTACTCAACTTTGTAGTTCCTCTACACTAGGATATTTTGAAAATATTCAACCTAAACAATTTTAAACTGGAAAATTTCTAAATTTATGACATTATCATATCTATTAATACATTATTTTAAAATTGTGTTGTCCACCAATTAAAAAGTAAAGAAAACAGTAACTGAACATTAAAAGAAAAATAGAAAGAAGAACTAGGAAATATGACAAAGAGAATCAAAGGATTCAGAGAAAAAGGAGTAAGATAGGATAGAAATATAAAAATGTAAAAAGAGGGTATTTTGTTATTATTCTAAAGTTCTCAAAAAAAACCCCAAATATATGTAACCAAAACACGGCTTGAGCAGACAAGCTTGTAAATACAATGTGTGCTGCTTAGTGATAAGTCTAAACTAGAAAGGACTTTTCATTTTTCATTTCTTATTTCCTGGAGTTCTCTACATTCTTTTCAATGTCTCTGCTAAGGCAATTGAAAAACTGTGAGATTCAGTATTTCTCTTGGCAAATTCACCATTTTCTCCTACAGGCAAATGTTTTACTGGACTCCACAAAGTACTATGCCATACAGTACTTCCATACTGTGTGGAAGAATAAAGTGATCCTTGAACAACACAAGTCGACTTGTAGGTAGATTGTTTTCAACCAAACGCAGATCTATTATAAAAATGGTATTTGTGGGATGAAGGAACCTGTGTATATGGAGGACTGACTTTAAAATATGAGGGTTCCGCAGGGCTTGAGTATGCAAAGATTTTAGTATATGGGTGGTCCAGGAACCAATCCCTGGCATATACCAAGGGATAGCTGTATTTTTAAAATTGGTAATCCCTTCTTGGCCTTTTGGCTAAAATCAAGTGTGAAAATTGGTAAGGTGATGTTTATTTTCTCTTCCTTACTCATCAAGGAGTGTATGGCTATCAAGCTAAAAGACATTTTAAAAGATTATTAGTTATATCTACAATAGTTCTTGACTATATACATATATCATAGTATATTTCCTTCAGTTGCTTTTGTTTAGGTATTTGTTTAAAATCTTATAAAAGTCTATTAAAAATTTTCACATTACTTTTCACCTCCAATAACATAAGACCCACTATGAAAATATTCAAACCCTTAAAAATTCATGTCAGTATTTAATAAACAAGATTAATCTTTTCAAAAAGCTTTACACCTTTCAACTGCAAGAACCCTAGTATATACCAGAGCTTTGTTCTAAGTACAAGACTTTGCCAAAAGCAAAAACACTCAATATATAATTTTAATAATGAAAACCTAAAATATTAGAAACCAAGCTGTGTGTAGAAAAAATAAATCATTTAGGTGAAAGGGTAACAAACATTCAATTCAAGGATAATGCAGCCCTGAGGGAAAATATGCATATGAATGAAGTTTATGAAATTGGTTCAATGCCTCTGCAAAGAAAAAATAATTAGTTTATTTTAAAGCTGCCTATAAAATGTTTTCAATATTACAGTATGAATTATTTATAGAAAAATGTACATCTAACTTTAAAGCTACCATTTTATTGTAAGATCTTGAGTACTGTGAGAGAAACTAGAAATAGGAATATATCATTTCATATATATAATATTTGGATCATTTTTTTAATTACATGATTTCCAAAAAGGTTAAGATTTGTTATCAATCTGAATCTATACTATTTTATTCTATTCTTTTTCTTTTCAAATTTAAGAAGTCAAATTGAGGGTGGGACATCACTTTCATTTTAAATTTTATGAAGAATGCCTTTTAAAGTTCACAAATACAAGAGAGTATACTACTTTGAAGTCATAACTGCTAATTTAAAATCTGAGTGAACATGTCTAAGCTTAAATAATTTTTAAAAATGTTAGTGTTTTTTTTTTTTTTTTTCTTTCAAGATTTTTTTAGAGATAGGGTCTCTCTCTGTTGCCCAGGCTGGAATACAATGGGATGGTCATAGCTCACTGCAGCCATGAACTCCTGGGCTTATGCAATCCTCCCACCTTAGCCTCCTCAGGAGTTGGGACCATAGGCATGTGCCACCATGCTCCACTAATTAGAATATTACTTTTAACCAATTTTATGATTAATAATATAGCACAGACTCTAGTGGGAGCCACATAGTGCTTGAATACTATGAGGAGGATGGTAGTTTTCTGAACTTTTCTTAACAGAATTATGATAGAAATACCCTGACCCCATTCCTCTCCCAAAATATGGGATGAGATTTATTTATCTCCAATCACAAATTTAAACATAAAAGAAAATCATTATTAATTTTTTAAAGGCTCTTAAGAGATCATAATTTTAAAGCTAAAACAAGGTAGCCCAAGGGAAAGTGAATACTTCACTATGTCTTGGGGGGCTGAGAAACAGACGTACCGGGGCACCAAAAGCCGAGTGAAGCTTCTTTGCTTTCTCAGTTCTCAATGATAGGGTGAGTCATAATCTGGCCTCTAGGTTAAGACTTGAGCTCTCCTGAAATAGTGTCATTCTGGTTGTACAAGAAACATAACCTGACGATGATAAATAACCTTAAAGAGTATTACCTAAATTTAATATAACTCAAATTTCTATATTATGAGAATTGACAATTTATGAACACTAGAGGGCAGTAAAACACTAGAAGGTATTATTAATATATATTTAAATTATAGATCTAAGAGTGGTAAAGTCAGTGCATTCTTTTTTCAGCAAAATCATAACAATTTAATAAATTTATTCCTTTGTAAGTTGCTAAACCACAAAGTGTTTAGTGTGTCATTTTAGATGTAGCTTACTTTGCAAAATCCAAGTAAGAAACGTGTCCATGATAAAATCCTGGTTTCATCTCTTTCCAGGCAGTTATGTTCTTTACAAAGCGTACCTATAGAGGAAGAACACACTCATTACTTAAGTACAATTTAAGGAAAATGAAATTTAATGATAACAAAATACTTACAAGTTAGGAATTTAAACCACTTATACCACTTTGGCAATTAACACAGCTTGAAACACAGATTTGGACTAAGGAAAGTACAGTGTAATCTGTAACTACAAATTCGTCATAGAGAGTGCTACTATCACCACTCTCAGGAAAGAGTAAAGGATGATTCTGAAAACAAAACCACACAATGAAATCATTCACAATAGTGTACAGTGAGTACATCTACATGGGGTGTTGGGCTCGAAGGACAGTGGTGGCAGGTATATGTACCTATCCCCTACTAACACCCATGTTGAAGCATGCAACACTGTAACATAGGGACAGTCTGTGCATATTAAATGTTTTCTTCTCAGAGGCTTATTCATAAAAAATCATTTTTATTAATGACTCAACAAATAAAATTAATCCTTAAACCCAAAGGATTTTTTCTTTTTTTTGGAGACAGATACTTGCTCTGTTGTCCAGGCTAAAGTACAGTGGTGTCATCATAGCTCACTGCAGCCTCAAACTCCTGGGCTCAAGCAATCCTCCTGCCTCAGCCTCCTGAGTAACTGGGACTGTGGGCACATGCCACCACCATGCCTGGCTCATTTTTCAATGGTCTTGAATTCTAGCCTCAAGCAATCCTCCCAACTCAGCCTTCCAGAGTGCAAGGATTACAGGTGTGACTCACCACGCTTGGCCTGACAAAATTATATTTTTGAAAGATGATGATTATCAGAAGACTTTAAAGAATGAACAGTAGATATTATAAGCTTATTGATAAAAAGATTAATTAGAGATGTAATATAGGACAAATAAAAATTTTAAATTTCTAAATATTATTTAATTTATTGGAATTAAAAGTATATAAAAGGTTAATTAATATGAAAAATTCTATAATTGTAAATATATTTAAAAATTTCTAAGAACTGGTTAATACAGAATTTGATAATCTTAAGTATCACCAGCTGCAAAGCAGTGATACAAAATTTCTTAAAGGAAAATGGTATAGATTTGTGATAAGCAAGTCTCTGCATGATAAACAGCAAGTAGTTAAGAATCTCTTTTGGAGACTATATACAGTACAGGGGTTGGGTGCGGTGAGGCCCACCAAGCTATGCTGCACACTGTGACCTCAGCCTCTAAAGCACAGAACTGTCAATTGTATAATTCTGACAAATTACCAATCTTTCATTTACATTTTAGAATAGTCACACGGAGATATTCTAGAGCACTTCATATCAGCAATGAAAGATGATGGCTGCCTCCTAGATAAGGCCTACTGGTAAGGTAAGAAAGGGAAACAGTGCAGAGACAGCCATATGTCAGAGAATGTGAACTAGGGAAAATGAAAGCTTCTGAGAGAATTTATTTTTTAGGGGGACCAATAATAACTCATATACTAAAAGAAATAACAGATTTTACAAGGGAAAATAAATAAGTTTTACTTGATATCTTATCCATATATATATATACACACACACACACACACACACACACACACACACTTAAAATAAATTGAATGTAGATAAAATTAGGTGGCATTAGAAAACACATGGTGTTGTTATAGCAGATTTTTTTCAATTTTTTCCCCATTGAAACCAAAAGAGCCAAACAAATGTGTGATTTGAGGGTCTCATGTTTTTTCCTATTTGTTCAACTGAGGCACCAAATAGAATGAAAATATGAAATCACAAATGAAAAGGAAACAAAGGAAAATGTAAAATTAGATAACCAAAAATCTGAATCCTTAAAAAATTGTATGTGTTGAATATGAAAAGATCTTATAACTGCCACTAAATGGTAAATTATTTCATACAAACCTTTGGTTTTTATGAAAATCAGTTTCAGTATTTCAGCCAAAAGTGAGAGGAAAATAGAAGGCAAAGAGAATAAGGAAGTAGAGGTAGTGGTTAAAAGGAGCGTAAGATATATTTAGCAACTCAGTTCTATTTTCTAGAAGCTGAGATTTAATATGGACGTGGTGGTATAGGGGGAAATGAAAGGAGATGCTAGACTGAGAAAACAGTGTGATATAAGCCAAATGTTAGGGAAGATCACGGTGTAAACTTGGAGTATACTGTGGTGAAGGACTAGGACAGAAATAAGACTCAGGTCTAAACTTCAAGCATCCTTTTTCTTCCAATCTTTCTAAGGATGGTCAATATTCAACTAAATCCCTTCATGAGGATAAATAAAATGTGTGTCTTTCAATATAAGTTGAAGAGCCCAGGAAGCTCGATTAATACCTGGACTGCTACAAGGCTTCTCAAACTTGAATGTGCAAATGAATCACCTGGGACTCTTATTAAAATGAAGATTCTGATTCAATAGGTCTGGAGTGGGGCCCAAGATTCTGCACTTCCAACAAATCTGCAGGTGATGGCTATGCTGCTGGTCCATGGGCCACCCTGAGGAGCAAGGCTTCGGCATGTGTGCGGCCAGGGGCTAGCTCTTGATTAATACGAGGCTTGTTTTTACAATGCTTGCAAAGGAGGCCTGAGGTCTACAGAAGGTCGTTAGCAAGAATATTCTCTTAATAACTGTTTCAGTAAAAGTATACTGAAAAAGAGCAAAATTTTTGGTAATTTTATAAGCTACCATAATATATAAAATAGAAAGGGAAACAGAAGCAGAGTGAACCCTACCAACTTTGTCTGCTCTTCATGCCCTGCCCCTCAAAGTGATGCCTGAAGCAGTTTGGAACCAAGCATTCCATGAAACATCATTTAAAAACGAATGAAATAAGAAAAAGGTCTGTGCCTCCAGCTAGTCTCAGGGAGGACTTTGGTGAAGGCAGAGAACAGAACTAGGCATGAATTTTCCTCTGCTGTTGCCAATTTCAAAACCTCTTGTTTACAGACTCAAAGTTTCAGAATTTGAGAGATGAAAAGGACCTAAGCATCCTGTATTCTTTATTTTATAATAAAGAAACTGAAGCTCAAGAACCACATACCTTAAGTTTTCATACAATCGTCCTTCTATGCCATTAGCTAATTTCCTTAAATTATTACTGTTCAACTTAAAACAGAGGAGACAAAAAAGGGAAGGATTTAAAAGGAAAAGACAACAGACTTCATTCTCATCATGATTCTGATTAACAAATTTAGACACTGAAAATTTTAGGTTTTATCCACTACTAAATTAATCCCTCACATCCAGTCACTCAAACTCCCTCATGTCTACGAGATAGCAAAGCCCTGTTGACATAACTCTCTCACTTATTTCTTTATGAATTCACTCATTACCTTCCTCATAATCTCAATTTCTAATCTACCCTGATCACTACTCTGTTACTAGACACCCATTTCAACAATAACCCTTGATTTATATTCCCCTCTCTTTTTATTGTTTTGGGTAATCCCAGGCATTGCTGAGTACTGCTGGTCAAAACCAAGAGACTAAGTCTAAATATCTATATAAGATTTTGAACTTTATTTCCTAAATTTATGCTATCTGAAGTAAATTCAGATAGATTATTATTACTTTTAAATTCTCTAGATTCTACTATTGTTAAAGTTTCCAAAACACGGAATCTCTTTCCAATCTCCAAGTATTAATAAAAGAATACCAAAGGCTACATACTTAATAGATATATTTATGTTTTTCTTTCATCTCATCAACATTTAACTAAGGCAATAAAGTCTCATTAATAAAGCTATGGCTGATTTAAAATTGTGAAAAGCAAAAGATCTTAAACTTCCTTCTTTATAAGGAAGAAAAAAGTGCTAAGCAAACAAAAGATGCCAATACAGTTAAAGTGGTTGTTCACACTAATCTGGAAAATAGCCTGAGCCTTCAGAAGTGCCATTTACATACTACTGAATTCCATACCATCTTTATCTCTTCTTCAAAACTGTTCTCCAAAGAAATATAAGCTGCTTTGAAAAGCAGTATTTTTAAGAAGTTTTCTTTTTAAATTCTCCTTTCAGCCATGTTTATTATTTATCCTTAGTTCTCCAGAATTCTCCCTGTCTCCACTTTTTCACCTCCATCTCTTCATCAATCCAGTTCTAGGCTTGCTCTATCATTTTCTGCCTTCTCACTTCCCCTGTACCATTTGCTTTGTCTTTCAGTTTGTTTGCTTCTGGTGTTTTCTCTACACAGGGCCATTCTGCCCAAGACTTTGAGAAAAGACTCTGGAATTCAGAGGAATAAGAAGAGTAAACTGAGAGTGGGTGAGTAAGCTTCTACTCAGTTCATTTTACGGATCCTTACTGACTACACTTGGCAGTAATAAAAGGTAAAGTGATAGGCAAAAAAGAAACAAAATTTAATAGCACTAAATTAAGTTAAGAAGACTAAAGACATTGAAAACTCTGACTTGGAGAAAAGAAATACACTATTAAGAAGAATGTTTCAGAAGCAGTAGTTAGATATAGTACATGAAAAGATGTTTTGACCACTAGCCTGGAGCAGATTTTAAACTGTGGTTTTTGTCAGATTTTATAGCTCAAGCAGAGTCCAGATAGCAAGTAATAAGAACAGACCTTTAGGGAAAACATAAGCAATGTAGCTAGCGCTGTGGTGACTTATTTGTTAGTTGAATTAGACCTGAACCGGTGCTACAGGAAAAGGCTAAGAAAGCACCATCTAACTAACGGTAGTATCTTGACCTATATTCTTAATATATTAACCTCAACATTATGACTGTGATCACAAAAGAGCTTGCTTTCACTATCTAAAGGAGTAGAAACGTCACCCTGAAAATCCTGGCTAAATTCCAACTTTGTAATTACTATCTAACGAAAGAATGCTACTATTAACTTGAGTAATTACTATATACAAAACTCCTACTTGTACATTTACTTAAAATAGACATTTCTTGTAAGGCCACGGGTACTTTTATGAGACTAAACGAGACAGTATGTTTTCTACACTAAAAGGCAAACTAAGTAGTGGCTGGATAAAAATATAAGCAAAGTTTAGCAGCAACAGAACATATCTTCAGAAGTTCAGAGCTATGTTGATCACCCTGTTTTGGGTGATGATAGGGTAGCATTTCCCAAATCACCTGAGAAGTAAGGATAAATTATACTTCCATCAATAAGAGGGACTCACTCTGCCAGTAATTATCATCCTGGTATCATGTTTAGCTAAGAACTACTATCTGAAACTTAACTGGTTCATTTGTTCATTCATTTATCATTCATTTAACAAAATATTTTATAAAGCACCTACCATATCTCAGGCAATATTCTGAGCATGGGATACCATGATGAACAAGACAGACAAGGTTACTGCCCTTAAAGACTTATAATAGAGGAAAAGACAGACAGTAAATAAATATATAAGATAATTTTGTAATCTGATTAGTACTAGGAAAGATACAGAGAGTGATACAGTACAGAGTAAGTTGTCAGAGGTATTTAATATATAGGATGGCCAGGCAAGGTTTTCCTAAGAGGATGTCATTTATGCTGAAACTTTAAATGGATAACAGAAAGCCAACTGTGGGAGACGCCAGGAGATGAACATTCTAAAAGGAAATGGTAAGTACAGAGGCCTTAAAATGGGAAAGGCTTGGTGCAAGCAATGAATCCCAAGGTCAGGGTGGCTAGAGAGAGGATGGAGCAATGGACCAGTGCTACATTAAAAAGGTCCTGTTGGCCTAGGTAAAGATTTGGATTTTGCAGGGGAGGTAGAAACATGAATTTAAAGGTAAGTACCCCTGGGAAGATTATAATATTCATCTTCCCATATCCCCACTGTGAATCATGTTCTCGATCTTTGCTACTCCAACTGTAGTTTAAGGACCAGCACCATCAGTTTTGGCATCAAGTTGGAGCTTTTTAGAAATTCAGATTTTAAGGATCCATCTTGGTCCTTCTGAAGCTGAACCTGCATTTTAACCAGTGATAGTCGAGAGCTCTCATTTAAAGCACTGCTCTGAAAAGTATCTGCAAATCATAGCAAACTGTGAGTTCTAATGCAAATGACCAGAAACTGGCTTGTGGGTGAATTAAAAGAAAAAATTTATATTATTTTGTTATCCTACAGAGAATAAAAATTCTAGATATTTCCAGTGTCTTAACAAAAGGAATTAAACATAATCACAGAACTAAACAGACCTGAGGGCAGAAAAGAATTAAGAAAGATCATAAAAAGATTCTGTTAATCACACCTATCTGGCATACTTTAAAAACAAGAAGTTCTCTAATGTGAAGATAATTTCATGAGAGCAGAATGAATTCCATTTTCCAACTGGAGGAATGGATTGGTTACCTACCTCTTGCCAATTGTTGTCTATTAACTGAGTCCATCTCAAAAGTATAACTCTCATGAGTGAGACTACCTCATTTTAATTGCTTAGTTTTTCATGTCTTATGTTTTTAAATGTTCATTTTTCAATCTTGTTGTTTTAGCTTTTCATTTTCTTTTATCCCAACTTTTAATTTTAAAAAATCCCTAAACTACAGAAAAGTTGAGAGACAAAAGTACAGTAAACATCCCTATACTCTTCACCTAAATTCACTAATTGTTAACATTTTGCCACTTTTATCTCTTTTTTTCTCCCTGTCTCTATATTTGCACATACTCAATTCTTTCTGACCATATGAAAGCAAGTAGCAGACAATCATACTTCACCCCTATATACTTCAGGTTGCACTGTCTATGAGCAAGGACGTGATCATTTTTGATAAAGGATTTGGTAACAGATTACACATTACATTTGGTTTCCATGTCTCTTCAGTCCCTTCTAGTCTAAAGAGGCCTGCCCTCCACCCTCATTTTTGGTTGTCATGACATAAGACACGTTAGAAGAGTCTAGGATAGTGTTCTATAGAATGTTCCGCAATATGAATTTGTCTGGGTCAAACGTTTTGGCAAGAAACATTTTTGGTTAAACATTTTGGTGAGATTACCATAAACTGATATTTTCTTTTAACTGTCCTCATAGTCCTTGTCTATGTTTTACATTCCCAAGTAAATTATAAATAAGTTCCTTGAAAGACATAGCCTTGCTTTCTATTTCTTTGGTATATTTCCCCACATAATATGGCACAATATTCTGTATATATTACATACATACTCAATAAATAAATGAGAAACCTGAAAGCAAAGGTGTCAACTACTTCTAAGGATAAGCAGAATATGAATAGCTGTTCAATAATAGCTTTATACCAGACTAAAAATATTTGAGCTTTGCCTTTAAAATTTTTGAGAAATAATTAAGTATGTAAACAAAGTTAGCACAGTGCTGGTACAGTATGTACAAAATATGTCTAGGAAGGAGCTGGGGCTAAAGCCAGTTATCAAGCAGATTAAACTGCTGAGGTTGGAAGGTGAAGGAATAAAGAGTATTGTCACCTATTTGGAAGGCTGGGACAACAGTAGATTTAATATCTTTTAAGCCGCTCTTAAGTCAGATACTGATTAGAAACTATTTCTTAGAGAAGAAAAAGAGCAAATAGGTCATTTAATTTCTATTTAAGTAGCTGAGAAAAGTACACAAAAACTTTAAATTTTTGTATGTAAAACACTCAAAATTATAGGTATGTTATATTAAAATGGGCTTCGGTGAACACTTTAAAAACCATTTTCAAGGAATATAGTACATTTTAAAGCTTATACTTAGACAAAGCTTAACAAATGGAAAGTGAAATAAAAATGCTAATATGTCATGCAAAAGAAAGGGAAGCAGTAAATATGACTTGTTTTAACAACTACTTCTATATAGAACTGTCTAATTATAGTTATAGCATATTAGAGAAAATCATAATATAAGCCATTATTAAGATCAGATTTTGAACTACCAGCTGACATTTTGAAGTATGTCAGATAATGATCAAGAATATTCCTCTACTCTGCCCCACATAAACATGTTTTAAGTGTTGTTCATTGTGTAATCTAATTGTTTTAAAGATAATATTTATACTTTTCTTCTGTTTTTTTTAATATATGTAACAAGTTACTGAAAGAAAAACAAGATTTATCCCATCCAAATTTAACTTGGAAAATATACTACTACATGATGTCTATAAATGTCATATGGGGTGAGCTTCTGCAGATTTATATTTCAATGAAGAAATGGTTGATGTCATTGCCAGACATCTTGTAGCTACCAGAAAAATCTGTAATGCTGGACACAAAATAACTCCAAAAATTGAACAAACAAGTTAACTTTATTTTTCTAAAAAATACTACTGCGTAAATCTGAAATTATTATGTGTTAAAGACATGCTGCTTTTAAACCAAGGAATATTTTGAAAAGCAAAAAGGTTTAAATCCTACTACATGCTGTATAAAAACAGAATATTTGAAATACTCATCTTGAGATATATAATATTATATAATGAATAGTTTTTATGACCCACTTAGCTAAAATAGCTCATGTTTCTTCTCATTTATAGAAGAGTTATTTGGTTTGGCCAACAGATACAGACTTTTGGTTCTATAAAAAATAATATTGGAGGCTCCTGCAGAGAACCAAGATTTATGTGGGCAGATGATATGCCCTATACCATTAGCCTTTACCAACAGCTCTCTAGAAAGAGAGCTAATCTTAATCAAGTGTATCAATATTATTCTCTTGCTGCAGTGTAAGGATTATAGTTATGCTAAATAGTAAGATGACAGCTAATTTTGTAACATACAAGTTCAGCTGCTTTTAAACAGATAAATATCATTCTAACTTTAAAGACCTTTCTAATAAGACTACTCCAACATGGTATTTGACCCTAAACAGTAATTTCAAATGTTACCTTTTCTTCTTACAGGGCCAAATTCCCATACCTTTCAATATTTATAGAGAAAATTTTATTTATTATTATAGTAAGAACTACAGGTATGAGGGAAATATGTGCCACTAGTGCCAAAGAGATGAGCAAACTTGATTTAATAAGATGATTTCCTCTACTTTTCTTAAAGCTATTTCATAAAATTATCTATTCATCTGTTTATATAAAATTTCTTGAAAATTTAAAAGGCAAGATTATAATGAAAATATAAGCCACAATCTCTGGTCTCCAGGACTTTATTTAGCTAACATTTATATAAATTATTAAAGATGAGATAAGATTCAGGAGGCTAATCAAAAAATTGAGTATAAGGATTCATCAACTATTTCTCTATCTTAAGTGGAGAAATTTTCATTGCAGAGTATGTTGCCAAAATTATTTCATATTTTTAAAATGATACTATCCTGAGAAGCATCAATTTTCTCTTTAAAAATTCAGGATACTCATTAATTCCTTTATTTTACAAATATCTGAACACTTATTATATGCAAGGAAATGCACCAAATACTGTGAAGCAAAATTAAACAAAAGTTTAATTGGTTGGTCCCTTCCCCTAAGAGGCTTATGATTCATTGAGATTAGCACACACATTCCTTTAAAACACTTTATCTCCTTGAGATTCAAAATTTGAGGAAGTATTAGAAAACATTTGTTTATGCATTCCCTAAGCAGTAATTACCTGATCTTGCAGTGACATCACTGGATTATTTTTGGTAGTGTTGATGTGAAGAACATGGTATTTATTCTTTGCACATAGGTCATAGGCGATATTGGTAAACGAGGTGCTTGCAGTTTTGGGAACTCTGTTATAAATGATCACCATGTCCTCTTCCTCATCTAAAGCTGCATCTTGCCGAGGGCCATCCATTGTATGTCGTTGCTCAATTTCTCGCACTTCATGTCTTGCAATAGCCCTTTCTGCAAAGAAAAGCAGACACCAACTAAGTTTTTAATGACATTAAACTATAAGGAAGTTATGAACACCGAACTTGGGACCAGGATAAGGAAAGATAAACACATAAATAAACAAAATAAAACAAGAGCAAAGGACTAAGGCATATGAAAAATATGAGTAAATAACTTGAGTTTTTAAGATGATCAATCTAGTTGATTCTAAAATAGCTATAGCCTAGACAGGAGTCCTCAAACTACAGCCCGTGGGCCACATTCGGGTGCATTTTTACTTCAAAATAAGATATGTGCAGTGTGCATAGGAATTTGTTCATAGTTTTTTTTAAACTATAATCTGGCCCTCCAACTGTCTGAGGGACAGTGAACTGGCCCCCTCTTTAAAAAGTTTGAGGACCCCTGGCCTAGAACATAATCTGGGTAAAGAGGAGTTGAAGAAATGTTTTGAGGACTAAAGCTTCAGAATTACTTTTGAAGGATAATATATATGTATATCAAGAACAAAAGAATAAAGAAAGTCATCAAGTATAGAATAGCACAGACCAGAGAGTACTTTAGTACAGTTCAAAAGTCACTTTACATTCTAATAGAATTTCTATAGCCTAAATTAACTTTTAAACACACAAAAGACAGATTATACGGAATACTAAACTTCATAGTAAAAAATGCACTTAGAAATCACTTATAAAATCTTTAAGATTTTAAAATTTATTACCTAGGATTTAGTTACTCCCTCATTTATGAAAATGTAGGACAATGATTATAAATGCTAATACGACTTTAGTAGAAACACCACCACCACAAAACCTTTTTCTTTTTGGTGCTGCATTACAGGTAAGTCCTGGCTAGGTTTATCCCTTAAATTTCATGGTTCCTCTAATTTAAATCACTGTCTGCTATACAGTTTGAAAAGCAGTTATATTTTGCTTTCTACTATTCTCTATTTAATGTCAACTTCAGCTTCAAGTATGTTTTTTAAGGAGAGGGATGCAAGAATGGAAGAAGGGGAAAAGAAAATGAGAGGGAAAAAATATCTAATAAGACTGCAAATTACTTTGTACAGTGATAACTGGTCACACATATAGCATGTACCCTCCTGCCCCTAGATCTTTGTACACACTATCTTATCTGTCTTGAATGCTCTTCCATTCCCCATCCCCCCAAAACCCAATCTTGCCTGGTTAACTCTTCAACTTTCACATTTCAATTCAGTCACTTCCCAGGGAAGCATTATCTGATCCCCCTGACTAGGTCAAGTCACCTTTTAAAATATGTATATTTATCTTATACAACACATTTTATTTAGTATAATTGTAATTTTACATTATATGTGCATTATTTGATCCCCCTGACTAGGTCAAGTCACCTTTTAAAATATGTATATTTATCTTATACAACACATTTTATTTAGTATAATTGTAATTTTACATTATATGTGCAATTTTATATTATACTACATTACATTACATTAGTCTCCCTCCTATAATGCTGACAATTTAATAAGGAAACATGAAAAAGCAATGTGATATAATTGTAATAACAAGTTCAGGCTTCAAATATTGACAAAGCAGGCATCTTAAATTTTGGTTCAGAAGATACAGAGAATATAGTCTGACCTAAGGATTTGTATTCAAAAGACTTGAATTAAAAGTTCTGGGCCTGCTGCTACTGTAGTGGGCTTTCCAAAACAAGAGGAAAAGTACATATATGACAGATATATACATGTGTTATATATTTATATGCAAATATACATACCCCTTTTCAGGGTAAGGAGTTGGGAATGGGGACAGAAATAGATAATGAGCTTAATATTGAACACATCATTGGACTGCCAGGGATCCAGGAGGCATATATAACATCCAGGATATGTTATGCAAATAACTGGGCAAATACGTCTAGAGTTGAGAATAAAGGTTCAAGTAGAAGACAGCTCAGGAAACCATGGGAATAGACAAAGCTGCTTAGATAATCTGGAATATGTAGCACGGAGGAGATGGGTCTATTGGATACCAATATTTAAAAGGCAGGCAGAAAAAAAGAATCAATAAAATAGGCTAAGAAGAAAAGGAAAGGATAAGGAGCCAGGAAAGATTTCTGAGAAGCATATACCATAATATTTTTCAAATCAACAGTGCTTTATAAATGAACTTATAAATCAAGGTGATGTATGATGATAAGCATCCACACAAGATTTGGAAGTTGTCTTCAAATAAATTCAAAAAATATTTATCAAAAACCTATGAATCTATGAACATTGTTATATTCAATTTTAAAGGAATTTTATCTTCCACACAACCTCAAACCATCATTACAGTTCAAAACGATTATGGTAATGTTATGTCCAAACATCTTCCCTTTTCTACTAAGGGAACTAAAACAGTGCTTTTGACACTAGACTGCTGACAGAAGTGTGAGAGGTTTCCTCTAGCAGCCCAGATATGTGTGAAATTACCTTTAAAAGATTCACCTAAAATCAACAGTGCTGAATTTATTGTCACTAGATTTTTTTTAAATAAAATATTTAGAAAAGCAGATTTTTATGTACTACTTCGTGAATGGGTATTTTATCTATAAAGAACATAATAGAGACAAACTATAATATTGTTTTAAAAATTATTGTATCAACTTATACAATTTTATATATCTAAATAATTACTTTGAAAATTAGCTATTAAATTAATAAAAATTACATTTGAAAAGAAGTTATTTAATCAGTAGATTTTTTTATTTTTTAAGGTATCAAAACTCTAGCTGGGTCACGAAACTAGCATATTTTTAAAAAGTAACTATTATTCTTTGTTTATTATGTATATTAAATTATATAGACTACATAGTTCACACAATTTTAAAAGTCTTAAATTTTGAAAAGGTACAAATATGAGAATAACCACTTTCCTTACTCAAATAATATTTACATGCATTTCCTATTTTTTCAAGTGTCTTTACTTTGCTTAAATATACAGGACAATTATATTATAGGTCTAAAACTATATAAAAAGATAAAAGTAGCGTGGAATGTTATGAGCAATTTTGTTAATAATATTTATAAAATCAAATCGCACTTAAATAGAAGTAACTACTATTAATGGTAAATTAATACAAAATAATTATAATTAAAATCAATATAGGTGGTTGCACTATGGACACAGTCTTTGTATTCAGTAGTTCTAATTCTTTTTTTATCAAAGATGCTCTACCTCTAGTTAGTATAGCTTCTTCTGAGGCTCTTTTTAATCACCGAGGAAGGTTTATTAGTTACAGCACATTTGTAGTGCACTTAAAGAACATAGGCAATATTATTTAAAATACTTTGATGTAATGTTTTCTTCATGTTTGAGTAATAAATTACAGTTGAACCTTGAACAATATGGGTTTGAACTCCATGGGTCCACTCATACAGGGATTTTTTTCAATAGAAGTTATACTGAGTGTACCTACTTCTCCTGTCTCCCACCTCCTCTGCCTCTTCTGCCTCTGCAACCCCTGAGAGAGCAAGACCAACTCCTCTACTTCCTCCTTAGTCTACTAATTGTGAAGATAACAAGGATGAAGATCCTTATCATCCACTTTCACTTAATAAACAGAAAATATATTTTCTCTTCCTTTTCTTAATAATATTTTCTTTTCTCTGTTACTATATTGCAAATATATAATACATAATACATATAGCATATAAAATATGTGTTAATAGACTGTGTTATCGGTAAGGCTTCCAGTCAATAGTTGGCTATTAGTAGTTAAGTTTTGGGGGAGTCAAAGTTATGTGCACATTTTCAAATGTGCAGGGAGTGGCATCCCTCGTCCCCGCATTGTTTAAGGTTCAATTGTATAGAGAATCTGATATGCAAGCCATTTCAAAATCATTACAACATGTATAGCCTACAAATAATGGGAAATAATCTGAGAGTCATGAAATTGCAGGCGGGCCAGGCACCACTGGCACTAGTATTTCCAACACTGAAGATGTACAATGAACTAACTCCACGGCAATTCTAGTTTTTCTCTAGGCTCCAGTTGAAGGTGACACATGCCTGAGCTTGATGAACTTTTCCATGTGGCAGGTTATCAACAAATTCAACTCTTTTTTAAAAAACCATTAATAATAACAACATTTACCTATCTCATATTGGCAAGGCCTTATTTATTAAAAGAATATAATGATTAGCTAAGTATGAAACATTATATACACCAACCTAAAATCTATGTAGCATTAAAGTTATAAGGATGCATATATCAGACTACAGAATAACTGAAGAGAACTGAAAATGCATAATATTTCTGTATTTTGGATGACATTTTAAGACCAGAGGGATAAAAGAAATAACAAAGGGAAGGAGCAATACATTGCCTTGCCCTCAAATACCAAAACTTCTGCATGTCAAAGTAAAAAAATAATATAAACAGATTGATAACAGGTAAATAGATAATAAAAGGCAAAGTAGAGTGGGGAGAGGAGAAAAAAAGGCAAAGAATATTAAGAAAAATATATGAACAAATTTTAATATCTATAATTTTAGGAAGAAAACATAGAAATTGGCAATAAAAATATTAACTCTCCAGTAGATAATAAGCTAAGATGGTTTACAGGAGATTAAACTACATGTTCATAATGTAGCAAAGCAAAAATATACATTAGTGGCTCACAGTAATTTTTTGGGCCATGGACTGACTCCTTTGAGAATATGATGAGAAAACTATGGACTCTCACAAGGTTGGCTTGTACATTTCAGGGCTTCTCCTTAGAGCCCAACCATAGGCAAGGGGGTCCATCACTTCAGATTAACTACCCCTAAAAAGAAAATACCTCCTGGGAAAATGAGGCCTGATAACCTACCTAAAGACATTGTCAAGCATGCAGAAAAAAGAGGTTAATCACAAATAAAGATCAAAGGCAAGGAGAAATCAAAGAGTAAACCAGTAGTACCTATCTAAGAATTGTTTATCGGTGAGGGTGCCTTGATATATGAAGTATATACTTTATATGCCTTGACATACAAAGAAGAACCAAA